GAGTGTGAATATTTTTATCAATAATGACTAACCTCTCATTCTCTCAAACTTTTGCAACAAATTTGTGAGGATTGAGATATTCGATCGATTTAGATTTTGCATGAAGAAATGTTTGGTTATTTAATTTTTGAAATAGAATTATGGGGTACATTTGATAGATTGTATAAAACTTGAGATATATAATGATGTATTAATATCATTTATTATTAAACAATGTTTTTTTATCTTAGCACAATCTTAAATCAGCCACCAGAATTGATGTAAACATATTTTGTTTTGTATTTTTTTATTAATTATTAAATAATTTTGTTAAATATTCTAATTGTCTTTTTATCCGAGTAACTAGTTTCTTTATGATCTCGAGTAGTTAGTTTTTACGTCAATTATGATTACGATTTTGAATATTCATTGTAATTTTGAATATTTTCTGTTTTTATTAACTAGCTACTTATGTAATATATATATATATATATATAATTGCATAATGTCCTGGAGGTAAAAGCAGACTTGATGCAAATCTTTCGCCCGTTGTTATTAATTTTATTGAATGATTGTATAAATCAGAACGGACTGATTGTTAAATTTTTAAAAATTGAATCTAATTTTAAAAATATGAAACATGCCAAGAAATTCAATCAAAATTCAAAGGAAGGGCATATATTTTATTTAGTGAAATCAAATACAAGGGCTTTATTACTTAATTGCCAAATAGTCCATTATTAGGGTTTTTTATTCATTAGGCATACTCTTGACTTTGGCATTTCCCAACCGTAGCTCTTCATGCACTGAAAGAAAAGAAGAAGAAAAACATGAACAAATTATATTAGTATACTTGGAATTAATTTAAGATAAAAATTAAATTATCAGTTTTTCAATTTTAAACTCAATTATTTCTACTAACTAAAAATAATAAAGTTTAATTAGACCAATTGAGTATCTGAAAAAAGTTTAACATAACAATTATCATGAGTATCACATACGACAAGATACATGTATTATACTTGATTTATACATGAACCCACATATTTCTTATACTATATAATCATAAACTCGTCTTCTCTGATCTCATTTTGTTTGTGAACTTTACGTATAATCATCACAATATGAATCAATATCGATATTTTTATTTTTAATAAATTCATTTAATAATTTGAATCATTCAAACTCGATTTGTGATAAATAAACTGAATTTAAGTTATTATTTCCGAATCACAATTAATTGAGTTATAAGAGGAAGAAGGAGATTAACTCGGGGGAGTAGGTAGGGCAGTCATTCCTTAAAATTTTTAAATTCTTATATATTTTAAATATTTTTAATAATATATATTTTCTCCTTAGAGTTTTATAAATTCACTCTTTTAAATATAAAATTATGTGTCAATCCGTGAGAGATTAAGGAAGAGAATGAGTACCAGGAACAATCAGTAGTGGCATCAATAGGAGGAATTGGAATAGTGATACTGCAATCTTGGCCAATAAGGGGCACTCGGTTAGGGTCTTAAGGTCCAATTCTTGGCAGTACTCCTTTAAGGCACTCGCATTCAGCTGTCTATCTTCTTTGCTACTTGGCCTGCAAGGTTTCTAGCACCAGAGCAGCATTCCGCTACCGGAACAGCTCCGCCCTTGATAAAGCCCAGGCACGGACTTAACGATTCTACGACATCGTTGCACCGAGGCACGGCTGCAATTTTCGTAAAATCCGACGCAATTACCAGTAAGACGAACATTGCTACAAATTTGATTGAGCCACACATGATGGCAAATCAGTTCTCTTCTTTTTCGCTGATCATATGGTAGTTTCCTTTGAAGCCTATGCATGTATATATAGGGATGATAATGGACCGGTTTGGGTTTTAACTAGTACTTTCTTCTACCCATTATCCGACCCACTTGAATTTAGGAATGTTTCATTTGACTTAAAATTTGACTCGACTTTTAGAGTAAAAATTTGTAGTTGACCTGATCTGACACAAACATAAATAAAAAATTTTATTTTAGTTAAGTAGAATAGGGATCTAATTAAAAGATTGATAGATGGATATTATTACAATTATTACTAAATATTTAAGAAATAATTATATTATTATCTCAGGTCGTGTATTTTTCACCTTAAATTCAAACTCGACCTGACCTTATAAAAAAACCGATCTAAACTTAAACAGGAGCCCATATTTTTTTAAGAAAAAACTCAACGTTCTATGATCAAAGCGAAACCCGTTTAGATCAAATACTCATCTCTCGCTGTATAAATGTTTTTATACAAAAATATAAATTATGTGTAACCCTTAAAAATTTGAAGAGTCTGAGTAATTATGAGATAATATATGTTTATAATATTTTTTAATCATGAATAAAACACGTCATGCAAGCGCAGTTGCTTAAACCCAAGATTTTAAGGGAGAAGAATATTTTCTTTAACTATTAAAATTATTCAATAGTGTAACTCTTAAATCTTTAAATAAAAAAATATCATACGGTGATCCGAATGATTAAATCGGTGTTAAATTTTAAAAATTTGTATATATTCTTAGATTATATTATTATTATTATTTTATTTTATATATATATATATATATGTGTGTGAAATTATAATTTTTTTAATTAGATATTTTAAGGTTATATGGTAGAAAATGTGATCCGAATTCTATTTAGTTCAATTTAAAAATTTACAATACAATTTATTTGTTGAAAAATTAAATAAAAAGATCTACGATAGACACGAAGGCTTTTGGATCCAAGATTGTAATCCACTACTGATCTCGTCGAGAGTGGAGCTCTTGTAATACGATACAAGTTAATTTTCTATAATTTTTATATTTATATACTTATAAATAGGCCCGTATTTAGCATGGGCAAGAGGGGGCACTTGCCCAGGGCCCACTCTTGTCTAGCCCAAAATTATAAAATTCATATATAATAAAAAAAATAATAAATTATTTGTTTAGTCATTCATCTTATTTAATTATTTTTTTAAAATTATCCTTAACGTTATATTTTAATTTTGTTGGTTATTCATCATTAAAAAATCAAGAACGATATTGTTATGATATTTTTAAATTATTTTTCACTTTTCATTAAAATTATATTTCATTTTTTGGGCTACTATGGGTGCACCTTGAGCAATTCATGCCCCTCATTTTGTACGGGGCTCCTAATTTTTTATAATATTATTTATTTTTATAATTTAATCCTTTAATTTTCTTTAATTTTAGTTTTTATCCTTATAATTGATGTCCCTAATTTTTGTAATCTTACTTTTTATCTTTATAATGGAAGCCCTTAATTTTTTTTCAATCCCATTTTTTTACATTTATAATTGATGATCTTAAGTTTTTCAATCCCACCTTGTACTTTTATAATTAAGCTCCTGCTTTTTTCAATCTCACCTTTTACCTTTATAATTGAACCCTCTAATTTTTTTCAATCTTATTTTTTACTCATAAAATTTAGGCCTCTAATTTTTTTTAATCTCACTTTTTTACCTTTAAAATTGATGCCCCTATTTTTTTTTAAATATCACTTTTTATCTTTATAATTGGGGTTCCTAATTTTTTCAATAATACTTTTATAGTTTAAGCCCTTAATTTAATCATTTTTATACGATTTATTAACACAATATTAAATTAATTATTCAAAGTATTAAAATATACTTTTATTTTATAAGGGTATATCTTTTAGTTTCGCTCAGGGTCCCGAAAATGTCTGAGATATCTATATATTTATTAGATAGTTTATTAAACGTACTAAAAAATAGTTTACAAACAAATTTATTTATTTTTTCTTGCTCTTACAATTTAATTTTTTTATATTTATTATTGGAGGTCTAATTTTATATTTATTTCGGACTACTAAAATCTCATAAACGGATCTATTTATAAATATGTACTTAGAGTTTCTAGAGATTGTATGAGAGAGAGAAAAAAGTGATTTCGTACAGATTAGTGTATATGTATCATGATTGCTATGGTTTTTGTCATCTCTTTTATAATTTATTTTTTGATATTGTGAAAATTTTCTCTTCCCACCCTTAATTTTTATGTTTAGAAATTTTCACGTAAGTGTTTTATATCATTCGTTATGGTATTATTTGTTTGCTTGTCATTATCTTCGTGATTTTATAACTCTATCTATCATTTTATTCTTCTAAAAGGAATATTATTATTCCTCAAAATATACATATTTAAATATTAGATGTTAATTTTAAACTATAATATATATATATATAACTTTTTTATTATTATAAGTATGATAAACAATAGTTATTTAAAATATTATCATAGCTCATAAAATAAATGTAACAAAATCTAATAACAATAATCGATAATAAAAAAAAATAAGGTCTCTAAGTTTGTTGCAATGCAAGTCTCGTGATTTCATGTTTCGTGGCATATTAGAATATTCAGATGAGAAAATTCATGATGGACGTGACGTGAAAACATATAATAGGCCAAGCACTTCGTCACTCCACATTTTCGAATTCCTCTTCAAGCTTGAAATATTCCAAGACCAAATGTAATGATCGAATTACTTTCCTAATTTCATTTAATAAAAATATATTTTTCAAAATAAGTACCTAAAGTATATTTTAGTCAAATTAAATATTTAAAATTATCTTTTTGGTCAAAATAGATACATAAAATATTTAATTTTTTTATCTAAGTACCTAAAGTATTCTTTAATTAATATTATGTGTCAACTCTTTTAGAACTTACATGTAAAATGTTAAATATTTTCGGTCCCTATTTTGACAAAAAAATACTTTAAGTACTCAAAAGAAAAAGATGATATATTTTAGATACTTATTTATAGTATAAGCCATTTTAAAATAATGAAATAAAATTTTATGTTGGTGGGGAAAATAAAAATTAAAATACTCTTAAAATCGACGAGCAAAGCAATGTACCATTAAAAACCAATATCAAACCAAATCCTAAGGCCGGAGATCTCTTTTTTTTTAATTATTATAAGGGAAAGGGTTAGAAGTAAGAAACAAACCAATTTTGAATGATGAGAAGAGAAACTAAGTTTGTGTGGTTCATTCAGGTTCAGAGGAGCTGTTGTGAGATTCTGATTGAAACTACTTCCCCTTCAGCTCCGGCCCTCATGGCAAGGTACTTCATTAGAACTCCTGCTGCTTAGAGAAAAAAATATATCAATGTTTCAAACTTTATATTATACGGATATTTATATGAATTATACATGTACCGTCATAGCTGCATGTATGAGGACTTCTTACCTTGATTTTCTTGTAAATTGGTGTTGACTGCAACTGCATGAAGAGCAATTATTGCTTTTGGTTGAAAATCATGGGGTTGTCCTGTCCATGACTTGTAATCGAAGATCCCTGTTAAGCTCATTGGTAAAATTAAATCAGATTCCTGTCCATTTAGAATATTCGTGTTCTATTTATGTTCGGATTCGAAGATCTTTTAAATATATGAAATAATTTTCTAAAAACTGAAGATATCATTGTCGGTCAGACATAAATTTGACACAGCATATTCAGGAATGATTTAAAGGCTAAGAATCAAGTTTTACCGGCTGTTGAGTTGCTTGTGAGGTATTTGAGGTCGAAAATGGCCCCATAAGCTCCTCGTGATGTCTTTTTTATTTCATGAGATCCAATGAGTTCATAGTCCCAACTCCTATCCTGGTACCCTTGGCTAAGGAACAGCTCAATAAGCCTTGCATCTAACATCTGCATTGTTCCTACATAAACAATCAAATGTTCTTACTCTTGGTCCTGTTTAACTTGGCGATTTACATGTTATTCGGATTTTTCATTTTTCGAAAAGAAAATATTTGTATCTGACAATCGTATTCAACGCAAAACCAAACATCATAAGCGACTCTCTAAGAATCCTCCAAATACAAGAAGAATTTCAAGAAAATTGAATAGACTCATATCTTAAATATTTACTTGCATCTACAAAATAAGAGCTCACCTTCACATTTTTCAAGGTCACATACCGGGCATCGAACAAGTTGTAAATCTAAAAAGAAGAAGCTCGAGCATAGTTGGAATTTTGATCACAACTTAAATCAAACGCGAGGCAAAATTTAATCGGATTTGAGCTGTACCAGCTATCCAGATTCCGGTCTTGATTTTCCTTAGCAAACATGAGCCGTAAGACTGCAACATGTCATCTATATTTCCATGTTCTGGGATTTTCACAGGTGGATTCACCATCCTTTCGGAAAGAAATGCCACTTCTGAATTGAACGAAAATGCCCCAATCCACATCCAATCTGATTACTCCCCAAGAAAAAAAAACAAAGTAGTCACTGGCAAATTGTTACTATATTAATATCAGCACTTAATAATCAGCACATGCAGATATGAGCGTACACGAATATGATCAGGGATGGATACAAAATTTTAGGGATACCAAAAATAAATTATCAATAAACATATAAAATATATGGGAATTTGATGACCATCTAAAATCTCTCCAACTATGTGCAAAAACTAAGAAAATTTTAAATTTTGATTTTTGAGTAACATAGGCGACTAACTAACCAATATGTTTCTCCTGCTGGCGGAAAATATAGGAGTGACTTCCGTCTGCAAAACCCATTGGAATTTCAACATCAAACAGTTAATGCAGACACGTGTAAGATTTCTAAAGGGATTTTATATTTACCAACAACTGAACCATATAGCTTGGACCAACTGAATGCTACGTGACCAGGATCAGGAACCTGAAGGTCCCGCAAGCATGTGAACTTCCATATACACTCTTGCATGATAACATGGTTGAACCATTTATTCGTAACTGACAGCATCACTAACGATCGTCCATCCAAAAACCTGGCTATGTACGTCCACAGATCCTGCACATACCTTTTTGAGAATATATGAATAAGAGATTATTGATTAACCAATTCCTTATGGTATAAATTTAACAAATAATAAGTGTTTGGTTGCTGAGAAAACAAATCCAAATTGAAAACAAAATTAATATGTGAGAATTGAAATTTTAAGAGAAATGTTTTCTGTTTTGAGCAAAAATCTATACGCAGTATAACGAATGAGTAACAGAATTCACTGAAGGCAGATCAATGTCAAGCTAGGGTTTGGTAACTAAGAAAATTCAGCGGAATAACAGAAACCGGACCTTCTACTTCCCGAAAAATGAAAAAATAAAAAAAAGATATTGGAAACATTTTGAAATTTGAAAATTACAACGAAGATTTTCAAAATTCTGTGAATGCTTATTGAGCAAAAATATACAAGTAAAAACTACAAATGATGCAACATTAACCTCCGATTTACCAAATGAGTGACAAAATTAACTGAAAGGAGATTAATGTCAAAGCCGTGTTTGGTAACTAAGAAAATTTAGCGGAATAATAGAAACCGAACCTTATACTTTCCGGGGAAAAAGCAATACGAAAGCATAAAGAAATTTCAAAATTACGAAAATTATTTTCAAATTAAGACGAATAGTTTAAGATCACGCAAGTTCTAAGCTACCTCGCAATCCTTAGAACTACAGAAGCTATATTGACCATAATGAAAATTATTCGAACAATTCAAATCGGATACAGATTCCATTGGTGGAAAATATACATTTCAATGCTAAAACTTGTTGAAATAACAGTGTCTGGAACTGAAGTATCTCTGAATAACAGAGACTCGGTTAAATTTCCAGATCAATGGTTCACAGAGATCATGATCAGGGAAAGAAACAAGGGAAACGATTTCTCTTTCTTTAAACCCACTGATCGAAGCAAGAAGAAGCGCGAAGCTTACAAAATTCAGCTAAAACTCAAGTAATCAGCTCAAATTCTTTTTGATTCATCATCCGTTTCTTCAACTTCAACATTCATAGTTACTTACAAGACATCATTAAACTTAATTTCGAACTGATATTAGATCAAAATTAACTGAATTAGCTCAAATTCCTTTTCATTCCTCATTCGTTTCTTCAGATTTAACATTCATAGTTACTTACATTACCTTATTAAACTTAAAATTCAAGCTGATATTAGATCAGAATTAACTGAATCAGCTCAACTTCTTTTTTGATTCATCATTCATTTCTTCAGATTCAACATTCATAGTCAATTATAGGACATCATTAAACTTAAATTTCGAAGTGATATTAGATCAAAAGTAACTAAACAAACTCAAAACCTCAAAAGGAGGAAAGAAAAAGATTGAGAAATCAAATCGACGAAGCTTCAAATCAAAGAGATATATATAGTGAGAGAGAGAGAGAGACTACCAATTGAAGGTAGAGAGATTGGTGCAACGAGGAGAGGAGCAACTGAAAATGCCATTCGTTCTCTTCAATCGCTTCCTCATTCTTTTAACTGATTTTGAAAGAGGCACACATGCAAGCTCTTGGTATATATAGGAAGCGACGCGCCAAATCATTATGTTCAGAAGTAATTCAAAAAAGGAAAAACGGAACGGATCTGAAATGTGAATCGTGGATTGGGCTTATATTAATGGGTCTTCCTATTGGGCTATTTTAAAGCATTTCTTGAGGTAAAAGTACTGTACAAGTCCCGTATTATAGTATATAATGCATTTTGGTCTCTATACTTTTAGAACGAGTAAAACGTACTATACGACTTAATTAAATTACATAACATTAATTTAGAGTATGATACAGCACGTTCAACTTAACACATTTGAGTTAAAAAAGTTTAACTTGTTGCAGTTATTTTTATTCGATTTTATCGATTAAATGCAATGATTAAAGTTATTAACCTACAATAGGTTAGAGGAACATATCACATTATTTAAGTATACGGACTCAAATTACCATTTTACTTGTTTTTCCAACTTATAGGGACTAAAATCAATTCCACATTATAGTGCATGACATTGTACAACACTTTCATCGCATTTTGGGCTTATTGGTTTGGGAATAAAAATGATGCATCCGTGTAAAAAGGGTCTTGCCATTTTCTAATATGACAAAAGATTTTGAAACGCATCAAAATAATATATAAAAATCTCAAAACATATAAGCTAAGCGATTTTAGTGGTCAAGAAATTTATTGTTATCCTTTTGAAGTTTTTGGTTTGAGCGTTGTATATACACAAATATGAGCGTTTATTATCAAAGAGTTGAGAATCTTTACGAATGAATAAATGTATCATTGCACAACATTGTTTGCATTTTAGTTGTGTTTATATCGACATTCTTCTTAATGTATTTGTTATCATATTATGGGTCCATATTTCTTCAGTTTTAGGTGGTGTTTATTTTTACAGAGGTAAAAGGTCTGCAGTCTGTGTACTACATCTGCAGGCATCTGTGGACTACATCTGCAGGCATCTGCAGCAGAAGAGATGGACCAAAAGTTTGCAGTCTGCAAGAAGAAGACTGTTTGTTTTTTAACATCTGCAGACTGCTAAAATGAACTGAAATATAAATAAACTGATTTTTTAAACTTAAAAGAGTTTTGCAATACTGAGATTTAAATAATTTTAGTTTTACAATATTGAAATTTAAATAATTCATACAACTACAATAATAAATTATTTAAAATAAATCAATCCATACAACTACAATAATAAATCAATTAATATTTTAAAATAAATCAATCCATACTAATAAATTATTTAAAATAAATCAATCCATATTTTAAAATAAATCAATTCATACTAATAAATTATTTAAAATAAATCAATCCATACAACTACAATAATAAATCAATCCATACTAATAAATTATTTAAAATAAATCAATCCATATTTTAAAATAAATTAATCAATATTTTAAAATAAATCAATACATACAAATAAATTATTTAAAATAAATCAATCCATACTAATAAATTATTTAAAATAAATCAATCCATATTTTAAAATAAATCAATCCATACTAAAAATTTATTTAAAATAAATCAATCCATATTTTAAAATAAATCAATCCATACTAAAAAATTATTTAAAATAAGTCAATTCATACAACTACAATAATAAATCAATCCATATTTTAAAATAAATCAATCCATACTAATAAATTATTTAAAATAAATCAATCCATATTTTAAAATAAATCAATCCATACTAATAAATTATTTAAAATAAATTATTTTAAAATAAATCAATCCATATTTTATAATAATTTATTTTATAATAGTTTATTTTAAAATAAATTATTTTATAATAAATTATTTTAAAATAAATTATTTTATAATAAATTATTTTATAATAAATTATTTTAAAATAAATAACCTTATTAAATTATTTAAAATTATTTTAATAAATAACTATATTTTATAATTGTTCTTGAAGAGGTTTGAAGACCTTTGAAGACATAAAACCATGTCTGTACCGAGAAGAGCTCGCGCAGACGTTTGAAGAGCTTATGTCTTCTAAAAAACAAATAGTCTGCGAAGCCTAATGTCTATGTGGCGCAGACATAAGTGGTTTGAAGAGTTTGTACAATGAAAACAAACTAAGCTTTAGTTTATATTAAGACTCTAATGTAATGTAGGTTAAGGAAAAGCAAGATAACAAGATATATTTCGTCAGTAGACGAGCAGTTGGCACTCTCGTTTATAGACAATTTTTTCATGAAATATTTTTTTTACGAAGTGTTATTTCCTTCTTTTACGTTTATGATTAAAAGTTCTCTATGAATTATTTGTAAATAGATTACTTTTGATATTGTAAAATAGAACATGTTTCAGGATTCTAAATTAAAGACAATATTCCAACAATGTTTAACTTCAATTAATATTGGTTTAATACAAAAGTAAGTGTCAAAAGTATACCTAAAGTTAATTTTTAGTGTTTAAAGAATTTTTCGTTAAAAATAGGTGCTTAATGTTTTCAATTTTAAGTGTCTGGACGAAAACACCCTTAAATCTAGTTGTTAAGTGACACGTGTCAAAACTATATTTTTTTAAAAGTTTTTTACTTTTAAAAAAAGTAAAAATAATATTTTTATTAAAAGAACCATATTTTTTTATGAAAAAAATCCCCTTGGTCTCCATCCACCCCCTCTGCTTCACCACAGTTTTCCTAGAAATTAATCACTCCCCGTTGTTCCTCTCCCCCTGACAGAGACGAGGTATGGACTGATGTGAAAATAATGAAAAGGAGATCCCAATCGTCTGGTTTGGAGATTGGGAGATTTGAAAAGAATGAAAAAACAACAATCGAAGGTTCACAATCAATGAGAATAGTAATCGGGTAAGGGTAGCTGTTAAGGGAATGTAAACTCGTCCGTGGTTTTGGTTGGCAGTTATTGAGCAAATATCTATGGACCAATCAACAGATGTTGTAAACCAATCTTAACATATATGATAATGGAGTGGGGATAATTGATTCTCTCCTTTGTTTCTACTTCGTTACTCTATTTTCCCACAAACGGCAAGAAGGTGAGCAAATGAAAGAAACAAAATTCAGAAAAAGAATAATGGCATTGTCCAGACTCAAACCGGAGACTTTCAATGTGTTCGACTGACGTGATAACCAACTATACCACGACACCTTAACATTTATGATAATGGAGTGAAGACAATTATCTCCTTTGTTTCTACTTTGTTACTCTATTTTCCCGCAAACCGTAAGAAGGTAAGCAAATGAAAGAAACAAAATTCAAAAAAAGAATAATGGCATCGCCCGGACTCAAGCTGGAGACCGTTAGACTGACGTGATAACCAACTACACCACGACACCTTAACATTTATGATAATGGAGTGAAGATAATTGATTATCTCCTTTGTTTCTACTTCATTACTCTATTTTCCCGCAAATGGCAAGAAGGTGAGCAAATGAAAGAAACAAAATTCAGAAAAAGAATAATGGCGTCGCCCGGACTCTAACTGGAGACCTTCAGTGTGTTTGAAAAACAACTACACCACGACACCTTCTCAAAGGGCACAAAATATTTTACATATTTGTTACTTTTAGAAAACCTTTTTCGTTTGCATCGTCCTCGAGCGTTATGAATTTTTCTTTAACATACTGAGATTAAATACTTATTCCGGTTATGAAATTATTATTATCATCATAGTTGCCTAAACGCAAGGATTTCTCGTTTCTTTTAAAGAGAGAATTTGGCTACCGTGTTTAAAAGCTAACAATTAAAAGAAAAATACTATGTTGATCGATGCATAAAAGACCAGAGCTTTTGCCATTCATCATTTTTCTCTTCGATTCCGTAAAAACTCGATTCGGGATTTCAAAAGATGCATGTAAGTATGAGCAAACGTATAGGAAGAAACGAGCAAACATCTTTTTTTTTTACCATAACAAATGTCTATGTATAAACTGGAATCCCAATTCATACTGAAAATTACCAGTATATCATTTGTACTTTCACCTAAGAATCTCCATACTTAAAAGAGTTCAACGGGAAAGAGAAGAAAAAAACTACACATTCTACTGATGAAGCACAAACTATGATAGGCAGATTGAGCAACAAGCTTTCTCCATCAATCTGATATTCATGTCCGGGACCTTCGAGCAGGCGATCGGCTGAACATTAAGGATGGAATTAATTATGGAAATAATAATAAATAATTCCAAACATGGTATATAGTCGGTCGCAAAAGAAGAAACAATAAATAGCTTTTAATCACATTACCTGCGGTATCTCCCATATTCGGGACTCTTCTGCCTGTCATAAGCCGGACCATTATAGCGATCATAAACAGGACTACGAGCCCTACATAATCAGGACTTGGTCGCCGGCGATAAGCGGGACTTGGAGGCCTCTGATATGGACTATCCCCATGTCTACCACTACCACCTCTTCTAGGACTCTCGTATCTGCCATCCCTCTCATCATCATCCCTTAAAGCATATTCAACAGACACGACTCTGTCCAGTAACTTGCTGTAAAATTCACAAACATTTGTAAATTAGGAGCAATATCATCTCACATGAAATTAATAACAAAAAATGTATATTCCCACCTTCTCTGTGTTGCCTCAAGGGCTTTGCTAGCATCCTCTTGCGTGACAAATTGCACAAACGCAAAGTTCCGCCTAATGCGAACATTAAGAACCTTCCCGTATGGCTCAAAGTGCTTTGTTATATCTCGTTCCCTTGTGCGAATCGGATCAAAGTTGATAACAAACAAGGTTTTGGTGGGCCTTTGACTTGTGGTTGACCTAGAACCATCACGGTGCCGACCACGTTCACCCTGACAATAAAGTTATCCTCAAAATAATTTGTTTTTTTCATAGCCATTAAAATCAAAACCAGCAACTGTTGAAAGCAATAATTCACACAGCAATAACATACCTTAGCCCACTCCACGGAAAGTCGTCGACGATCGTATCCAAAAGGTACATTGTCAAGTCCACGAATAGCATCTTCGGCATCTCGTTCATCCTCAAAATAAACAAAAGCAAACCCTATAACACAAAGCAAAATCAGAGGCAGAAATGACAGTTTATACAATTGGTGCTATACCCACACAACTACAGGTACATCAGCCAAATCGCAGGATTTCTTTTCCCAGCAAGAACTAAGAAAATATACAGCACCTGCAAGTAGGTGAAGGAAGGGCTGATGCACATAAGGATGTAGAAGCGTTGCATGATGCACTAAATCAAGATGGTGGCATGTTAAAAGTTAAAATCCAAGTTTTCAGGGTCGGACACATTATTGCAAAGCATGTTTCGCCATTCAGACAGCAGGAGTTCAGAAATTGAAGACATGGCATGACAGATTTCAGTGATCCTCTATAGTCAGTGGTACAAGGCATGACATGATAGTTTGATAGGTCAACACCAGCCAGTGAGGTTGGTGAGTAACATAATCGAGTGAAGAAAATGCAGGATGATGCCATCAGTGAGTGGCAGGAGAGTAGACAGGCAGGCATGAATTTTTTATTTGCAGAAAGTTGGCGAGCCCATATAGAAGCTCATTTTCCTTCAGAAGAAATTCCTGCGCCAAAACAAACACTTAATATACAATGGTTTTCTCCAGTAAACTGGAACCCTTCAGGTGTCATTTAATTTCTCCCAGTTAGTGTGATCAGATATACAGACTCCTGTGTATGTACATCTGACATCCAAGTCCAAAACAAAATAAATGACTGTTTTACAAGACCATTCATTAAAAAATCAATGTCACATGCATCCTCAAGCCAGGATATAAGCAAGACTACAGCTCAACAAATCACGCCTAACATTCCCCATATTACAATAGCCTCAGGTAAGTTGAGGCATTATTAAAGAATGGGCAGGAAACAAGGTCACAGATTTGAAGAACAAAACTAGCACACGAGTTGTTCATTTACCATGATGAAAAATGATATCATAAAGTTAGCAATGTGAAGGAAGAAAATAAAGCAAAAATAGTAATTCCACGGGAACATTTGTTATGAGAAAAATTCTCTAGGTGTTGAATGGGAAACAAATTTGAGGAGACGCCACCATTTGCAAGTGATCAAGATTCCAGAACAAACAAAAAAACTATAATATTAAGTACCAATTTCCCATTACCAATCAATTAAAGTCAAGAAAATGTAATACAATCGGCAAACTACCAATAAAATGAAAATGTGAAGATGCACCAAACCACATAAAAGATGCATTTTAAATTCAGAAAGTCTCACATTCATTGTTTTAATAAAAAAATTACCAGATTTCATGTCAACCCTCTCAATCCTCCCATACTTTGAAAATAAACGCTCCAGCTCTGACTGCCGAGTCTCGAACTCGAAATTCCCCACAAAAACTGGTCTCATTTCCCCCAAAAAGATATCAGCACCTAATCTTCGGCAGAAACCTAATCGAGAAAAGAAAAACAGAAAACGCATTATTAAAACATTAAAATTAGGGGAGAGACTTCGAGTATTATTAGGGTTTCAAATAGAGCTATCGCGGCCGCTATTTCCAGGTAGCAGCGCCGTCCGCCATAGCTAAAGACCTTGATAGCGTTTTGATTAAATTTCACCTCAAAATAGAAGCGGATAGAGGCCGCAAATAGAATTATGTAACGGAAAATAGACGCAATATCAGTCGACTATTTCTGCTAAACACGATGGCTTTTGTAAATAAAAAAAATCCTTCACAACAAAGTAATCAGAAAGAAAGAGAATTAAGCGTTACGATCCAAATCAGAAAACCATATGTTGCAGAGGCAGAGATGTTTCAAATTAAATTTAGGGTTTCAGAACTTACCTTAATGAGACTTGTTTGGCGCTGGTGATGTATGAAGAAAGTTTTGAGAGTGGATCGGGAATTTAAAATGGAAATTCAAGAAAACTATTATATATATATATTTTAAGCGTAAACTACATTCATAACCACTTAACTATGTGATAATTCTATTTTGATCATAGTTCTCTTAATTTTTTTAATAAAATCACTTAACTATTTAAATATTATCATAGTTAATTTTTATTATTTAAATATCCAATAATATCTTAATTTTAATTTAATAAATTTAATTCTTCAATCAAAAGATAATATGTGTTGTCACCTTATTAAAAAGTTTTTAAATTTATTTTATTAATAAAAAAATTTCTTTAGAAGGTGATACATGTCACCTCATTAAATAAAAAATAAATTAGGTTATAAATCAAACTTAGACTTGAAGAGGAAATTAAGTACGCTAGCATTGGACCAGACCCCATATTAGTACTTATGGATGGGCATGGGTTAGGTTCTTAGTCCATCCGACTTGATCTGAGAACAATGTAGTCTCCAACGAGACTCGACCCAACCCAATCAAAACAAGGTTTTACCCAACCCGATCCGACCCGAATATATGGCTTAGAAACCCGACTTGATCCGAACCGATCCGAAATAATAAAAAAAATATTTTTATTTAATAAAAACAGTGACTTAATTGAAAAAATATATATAGAGGGGTATTATTGTAATTATTTCTAAATATATAAGGTAAAATTATATTTTTTTCGGGTTGGGTAGGGTCGGGTATTTTTCACCCTAAACCCGAACCCGACCCGTTCTGAACCCGATTTTTTTTTAAAAAAATACGACTTGATTGGGTCTGATCGGGTCGAAACCCATCGAGTTCAGGTTGAGTGCCCATCCCTATAATAGTACTAAATTACAACATAAATTATATATCCTATGGTAGTTAATGGAATAAAAACAAAAATTGGTTTAACGAGGTATCAAACCCGAGATTTAGGAGAGAATGAACATAATTTAATCATTAGGCCAGTTCTCATACTTAATAATCTATTACAACAATTTATATATATTAGTTAATAGCAAAAATAAAATAAAAATGACTAAATGAATTTTCAAATCTAGATTAATAGAAGATATGAGACTCTAGGCTCTAGTTAATTGAATATGTTTTATCTGTTTAGAATTTTTTTTAATTATTAATAATGCATATATATCCTATAGATGCAGTTGTTCAAATATAAGATCACTAAAAAATAATATTTTATTTTACTACTAAGGTCGCTTAATGGTTCGGTTCGAATTAAAACATTGGACAACCGTTTCTTTTTGTCCTAATTTCAAAATTAGAAAGTAGGAGGGAGTAAATCCATAATTTAATCATAAAATACATACTGCATATATTTTCTAATTCTACAATAAGATTGAGGCCACCGTCTATATTCAGCATTACTTCTCAATGGATCCTTTGCAACTACTAACAACACTCCACCGATCAGAATTACTCGCCGACGACGACACCCCATTACCACACTTAGCTACCGTCCTCACGCTCTCTATCAACGCCTCCGTCGGAGCCTCCTGCGCCAATATTTCCGCCAACTTGTCCGGACTTATCACCAGCTTCACCTTCCAAACTGTCGGTGGCGCCGGGGCCACCCCCGTGTCGGTTCTCTTCAACACCCTCTGCTGATCGAACGACATGCGATACGGAGACGAAGACGACGAAGAGGAAGCAGGTGTTATAAGATTGTTGTTGTTCTTATTGATCTTGCTGTTGTTGCGAGGGAGGAGATAGTAGAGGTTGCCTGCGTGGAGGTTTTCATGGCGGACCAGAGGCTGTGAGAGCCTGTGCGGGGTGCGGTAAATAGCTTGGCCAGGGAACTCCTTGGTTATGCTATAGGCGGTTATGGGTGGCGATAACTCCATGATGCCGCCACCAGGTGTCACCACTTTTACCATTTCTTTAACTTCTCCGAATGATTTGAGAACACAATTGCCCATGTGCGGTCTTCTGTGTTTCTATCCTCGCCTATAAGAAAATTTTCGCAGGGATTGGCCGTGTGGTTTTAAGCCATGGAAGCTTGGAAACCTTCTGATCAGATATAAGTGTTGAGTGACACATATTTATAAGGTGGCGACGAGCGAGATGAGAATAGTAGTTGGGACTAGATGTTTGAAATTTTTGCGTTTATTAATAGAGTAAATTAGATCGACAGAATCGTTAATATAATAAATATTTATAAAATTTAATCTAAATTAATCAGTTAATAAATTAAATAATAATAATTAATTTTAAAAAATAGTATATCATTAAGATTTAATAAAAAAATGTAATAGACAATTATATTTGATACATTCATATAGTATAAAATTATTAGTGAATATTATAATAATTTGTTTTATACAATTTTTACAAGGAGAATATTATAATGATTTTTCAATGTTGTTAATAATTAATATATATATATATATATTACTTTTAATTATTTAAGAGGCATGTCGCCGATCTTTAATGGAACGGGTGTTACTCATTCTTCTTTATCTTTTATTTATTTTCTTTTATTTCATTATTTTAGCTTTTACTTTTTTATTAATTTGTGATGAATATAAAATAATATATGTTCATAAACTTTTAATTATTTAATTTTAAACAGTCTACATCTCTATGTAAGTAGCGCACGAACTTAAAAACTTCACAGAATAACAATAATTCTTTAACATTTGATTCATGTTTAATAACTTATTCTTTTTTCATTTTTTTAAAAAATATAAATGTTTTCTTGCTATTATAACATGTTTTGTTTTTTTTATAGAGTTGAATTCGACATTGATTCTCTATTTGATATTTATTTTGTCATCTTATTGATTAACTCTTGATTTAGTCGATCAAATTGATTTTCTCGTATTAATAAATAATATCAATTATCTGAAATAAATTTAATTAAGTTATGATAAAATCTATTATAAATGTATCCTTATCCTTCTCCACCAACAATAATGTTTATTTGTATTTCTAATTTTTTTAAAATTATTAATGGAATTTTTAGTCCTTTTCACGTAAAGTCGAGTTTTTAATATTTAGTGATTATTCTATATTATTTTATTAATAATTATTTTATGTTATTTGATGGTTTTAAAAAATAATTAATTAATGTAACTAGATTATTTATTTTTGAAAATAATAAGTTTAATACGTCTTATTTTATTTATTAATAAATTTTAATTACTTTTATTAATTCAAAATATATAATTATATTTTATAAAAATTATAAACTATTCATAAATTAAATAAAAATATATCATATGATAAGATAAAATTATGAAGTTCGTCGGCGCGAAGCCGACACAAGAATAGTGTCATTGTCCACCCAAAACCTAAAGTCTTGTGGCATTCATAGTTATATGGTCCACTTGTCCTGTTGTAATTAATAGCTCTTCACTGTCCAGTGGTTTGGGTATTACACGAGAGTCGGCCGCACGACAACTTTAACTAGGTAAGAGTGTAAATAAGATGATATATATAGTAATATATTTAAGTTCGATTTGATCGGGTAATAATGTTTAAAATATATGGTTAAAAATTTTCGGTTGATATTTCATCTCTCTCTTAAGTTATAAGTTAATTAAGAATTGTTCAAAAATAAAGTTTGGTTCAATTAAAGTTCAATTAATATTCAATTTAAATGGACTTGATTCGAATTCGAATTCTATTTGATTTCTTAATGAACCAAAGTGAATGAACTTGACTCATGTTCAAATTCGACTCGAGTTCTTAATGAGTCGAAGTGAGTTACTTGATACACAACTCGAGAAGATAATATACTTCATTCATCTCACTAAATGTGTCTCTTTTGATTTTTAGAATTGTCTCATTCAAAATATCATATTAGAAAAATCAACAAATAATAACACTTATATTTTATTTTTACCCTTATTCGTCCCATTATTTTACACATTTCAAAATAAATCTATTAAATATATCAATTACTTTTTAGAAATGATTTTATAATTTCTCTTGGTCAAATACATATCCTAAAACTATGTGTATGACCAATATAAGATATAAATTATGGGACAAAGTATTAAATTTTTAATTTTAAAATTAAATTATTAATAATATTAACATTTATATTTTTTTATAAAAATGTGATATAAGATTTTTATGTACTTAGGTTCATATTCAAGTTCGAGCTTAATTGAGTTAAGCATGAGAATATTTTGAGTTCAATTTTTTTTAGCTCGGGCCGAGCTACACTTTTTTATTTGATTTTTAAGTTGAGGTTAACAATTTTCAACTCATGAGCTTTCAAGTTATGTCAAATTTTCAAATCAAATTCAACAATATTTAAATTTGACTAAACTCGTTTACAATGCTAATTATAATTACAAATAAAAGACAATTCTTTTCTTTATTTGGATTGCTTTTTTACGTAAAAAAAGTCATATATTTATAAAATTATTATTAAATAAATGATATTAATTTTAACAACAATTTAATATATATTAATTATGTTAAAAGCATAATAAATTTTTAGGTTTGTTTGGTGGTTAGACTTTTGATTTTAATCCCTAAAAATTAAAGTTTGACTTTCCTAAGGAGCCTTTAATATATATTTTTCTCAAGTTTTTCCAATAAAACTAAATCGTATCAGTGTGAACTTTACTTTGAAAATTGTTAATCACGTCGTTATCGATTTAATGATTCAATAATATGATTAAAATAAAAACCAAAATTTAGTGATATGAACGATACATCATCTAAAGTTCAATGATATCTTATATAATTTACTCTTAAATTATTTATAGTGATCCATATTTTTTAGGCTTAAGGGTTACTGTTGCTCTTGTAGTAGACTCAATTTATTAATTTTGTCCTTATCGTATTTTTGCATCAATTTAACCCTTGAAGTTGTTTAATTGCATCAAATTATATCATTGACCATTTTGACTAACAGAACCGTTAGTTTATGTTTATATGATTTACAGTTGTTTTACTTCAACCAATATTGCTGATGTGTCTCTATGATGACATTGTATTTATTAAAAACAAAAAAATTTGTGGTATTTATTAAAAATGAATAATAAAATATTTTAAATATTTGCTTAAATATTTAAAATATCTCATCTTGGTGGCCTCTACTACAAGCAACGGTAACAATGGAGCAAGCGACAGTGAACTAGCGTCGGACGGTCAATGGCGAGAGCTCCCCTTCGGGCACAATTTTACAACCTGCAAATCAATATTAGCCGAAGCAAGGGCAACGAAAAATCAAAAGAAACGGATGATGAAGGTGGGGTTTTAGATTTTTGATGATGGAGGCGTTAGTTGAAAGATTCCCACAATGAAGATGTTCCAATATTGAATTCAATACCATCATACAGTTAGCAGGGGCGAATGGAGGTGTTTTACTTCAAAGGAGCCGACAAGTTTTTTCAAGATCTACAACAAACGATAACAGTTTGGGGAAAACGGACTTCAAGTCCATGATCAAGAGGTCAAAGTAAGCCAACCTGTGAAGTTTGGACTTGATTGACCACCGACGATGGCAGCCAACGCAGTGGTCACCGATTGGTGAAGCAACCTGAAAACTGATGGAATAACCATATCTGAGATTGAAGAGCCCGGGTGGAAGGGGAAAGAAATAAAGTTTAAAAAAAATTAAATGGTGATTCCAAAACCATGTAGTTTTGGGGTGATAGAAGAAAGAAGAAGAGATATCACAACTTTAATCCTCTGAAGAAAAAGAATAAGATAAATCACAACTTTAATCGTCTGGCGTGAAAACAGTTGGCGCCTACATAAGTAGAAATTAACGGTTCCATTAGTCAAGATGATCAATGGTGTAAAATAATGCAACTAAACAACTTCGATGACTAAATTGATACGAAAATAGATAAGGTGAAATTGATAAATTGAATTTACTACTTGGGCAACAACGACCCATAAGCCTATTTTTTAATTATGCTTAAAAAAAACAAAGGTAAAATTGTGTCTACGTACTATAATTTGTTTTATTTCGATTTTTCATTAAAGAATTGTCACATTCACATTTTTTACTACGTCATTGTTTAACCCTGTTAACAGCTTTGAGACATAGTAAAATATGGGAAGCAAAATACAGAGAGAAAAACGAACATTTTAAAAGTATAGGTATCACATTGTTTTATTGAGCGTCTTCGCTCATCTTATTTTGATGACCTTGTCATAATTTGTTTATTTTTAAATAAATATTTTAGGCCCAACAAGCAAATAGCTAAGAAACCGTTCGAGGCCGGTTGAACAGCCTAAATCACACTAATTTTCCATTCTTTAAAATTCCTCTTTCAGAGCCGAAGAGAAACCCTAGCAACACTTTGCTGCCAACTTTGAACTGCGGCTGCTCAAATTTGCACATTCCCAGGTAAACTTTACATTCCTAGATTTCCTGGACCTTTATTTGCATTTATAGTGCTGTGGGTGTTATTTTTAATCGTTATTCGGGCTGGCTTTTTTAGTAACAGACGAAACGATGTCTTCCGTTAGTGAAGCTGCTTGCTCCTACGCTGCTTTGATTCTCCACGACGATGGCATTCCCATTACCGTATCCTCTATGCATTTTTGTTTTATGATTCCCCGATTTAGAGTTTGAAGTTTATTTTTATTTCTAATTGGATTTTGATTATTGTTGTTGGAAGAATTAATTACCCGTAGATTTGGGAAGTTGGTTGTTTTCTTTAACTTTTTCTAATAGGCTGAGAAGATTGCAACTATAGTTAAAGTTGCAAATGTTTCGGTTGAATCTTATTGGCCAGGTTTGTTCGCTAAGCTTTTCGAGAAGTGTGACATTGAGAATCTTATAACCAATGTTGGTGCTGGTGGTGGTGGTGCTCCGGTTGCAGCTGCGCCTGTTGCTGCCGCTGGTGGAGGTGGCGCTGCTGCTCCACCTCCTGCTGAGGAAAAGAAGAAGGTTGGACTATAAATCACTAATGAAGAATCAGATGCATTTCGTTTGTCACCATTTATTCTAATGTGCGATATTTTTTTGGTTATTCTGCAGGAAGAGCCAGAGGAGGAGAGCGATGATGATTTGGGATTTGGTTTGTTTGATTAGAAAGCTCCTTTCAGCTCCTGTTTTGGTCACATTACTGGTTTAATGCTTTAAGCTTTGAGAGTAGTTGCTGTTTTGAGTTTTATCTGTGTTAGTATTTGTCTGTTTTGAGTAATCTTCCTTTAAGAATTGTATGTTTGAGTCTCTTTTTTATATATATACAAGTCTTCTAAGACCATTTTTTCCATTTTGGAGTGTTGAATTTATGTTGGTTATTTCATTGCAATGCATGATTTGGTGCTTAGTTTGTTGTTTTGATCTGTATCTGTGAGTATCGGATATATGTGTTATCACTTTTTCATATGCATGCCGTGAGTATTGGATATATAATATATATCCTCTGGCATTGAGGATCACACGTTTTGTATGCATGCTTAAATCTGATAATATGTATATCCTCTGGGTATAATGCCGACTATTTTTTGACATTGTCGTTTGTTCTTAGTATGTTTTGGTAAATGTTTTGATGGCAACTGTTGGCAATGAAATGATGCTTGGTATGTGTAGAATCAAAATTAGCATTGTTAATCGTTAGTATCAGACTATTCCTTGAACGCATTAGATTTGATAATCTGTGTGTTTATGTTGCATTTGTACATTTTCATGTTATAGTCATTTTTGACATTATATATCTAATGCTAAGTTTATTAGGGCACACAACCCAAATGCTTGCACAACAAGAGATTTGGTACACTTGTGACCTTGCATTACAGTCACCTTCTTCCTCTTTCACTTAGGGCTGCTGCATTTCTTGTGTCTCTGAGTTTCTTCCCCATAGCAGAATATATAAACCGGTTATGATTAAGATTGATCCAATGACACTGTTCATTGGTAGCAAATCGTCGTTATAACCATATAAATGTTTGAGTATTAGCAACAATTGATATCAGGAAATTAGTGTTAGAGTAGATGACCTTCCCCAAGTAGAGTTTTCCATGTAGAAAGGAGAAATCGAACGTGGCTATGAATATTTGCAACAGTGGAGTACATGCTGATGTGAAGACCGGTACCCTATGCTCGACACACCATGACATTCCCACAGAGCACAAGCCCGGTGCAACTATTCCCTGATATAGATTAGATTCCAAACATAGGCATGTTAGGGGAGCAAAACCATACTTTGACCATTATTTACATACACCAAATAAGAACAACAAAGAGGGTATGCTTACCGCAAAGGCGACCATCATTAGTTCAAGTTTTTCCTTCAAGATCCATTTGTCAAAGTCCCTCTCTGCTATCAATCCTGAAATGGCTGATTGAAGGGAACTGAAGAGGGACAGAAAGGCAGTGCTTGAATATTTGCAGGGATATCAATCCTAGCTTGAAGAAGGAACCACAATGACCAGCAGACTGTGAATGCAACTGGAAACATCGAACCAATACCCCACCTCTCTCTCATCCTAGTTGAAACCATTGAGCTGTTGTAGTTTACAATACGATCATTTGTGTCCCTTGAATCCGATCCCACCACCGACTTTCCTTTGTAAAGTGTCAGTACCATTGATCCACTGATGCAAACCAATGTGCGGACTACCTTTGCTTGGCCGGCCTTGCTTCTGATATTAACTTTCTCGAGCCTGAAAATTATGATTCAATTCGAGTTATGACTTGGTTTAAACATCTAGTTGGAGAGATGATGAGTTTGGTGTTTAAGGATTTTACCCAAATGGTACAGCCAAAACCATGGTGATTGCAGGAACTGTGTTTAGGAATGCACATGAGAACGTAGCTGCAGTATACTCGAGCCCAAGAAGGAAAAAAAATACTGTGCCAATGTTGTCTTGCAGGGTTTGTCTTGTTTATAAGTTCTTAGAATAATTATAAGACGGTAAATTTTAGTACAAGGTCCCTGGATTATACATTTTTAGTAAATTTAGTCACTTGATCATTTCTAGTCCTTTACATTTTTATTCAATTTACTCCCTTGATCATTTCTAGTCCTTTACATTTTTAGTGAATTTAGTCACATGCTTTTTTTCTAAGCATCTAATGATATGATATGCACACCTTAATATTTGTTTTGTATATATTTCTCTTTTTATTTTTTAAAAAATGCAAACAATTTTGTCCAAATATACAAAAAATACCAAAATGTATGTCACGTCTCCTAGGGACGGAACTATCTAGGACATTGGACGAGCCTGCCCCATCCTCAAATTAAATATTGAACCCCTAAATTAAAGCTTTTAGGTCCCTACTAATTTTAAAGCTAGTCATATTAAGTCATCCCATCCTTCGATTAGTTATTAGCTTTCTATCAGTTTTAAAATTAGTCAAATTAAATATTGACCCCCAATTTTTTTTGTTTAATTCTTTTCTTGCCCCTATCAGTTTTGAAATTAATCAAATTAATTGCAGCCCACATATATTTAGTTGAAATACTTATTAGGTCCCAATCAATTTTAAATTTAGACTATTTGAACCTCATAATGTTTTATCCTAATTCCATCCTTGACTTCATCTTAGGTTTTTATAAAATAATTCATGTCAAATTATTTGACAAAATTAATGAAAAAAAGTTTGCCTTTACATTAGAAATGAATATACTATAGTAGAAGAAACACATCCGCAAAAAGTACATAATACGAGAACCTTGTATACAATTTAACCTTATAAAATCAGTAGAATAATCATTAAAAAAATGGAGCTATTTTGAATTTTACGACTAACCCTACGAGAGCATTCAGGAAAAGCTGGCAGACATCGGATGTGAGCTTTGGTCTACCTTTTCTGCATGGAAGTTCATAAACCGAACATAAACATCTCGAGAATATAATATCAATACCAAGAAGATACAAAATACCATAAATAAATCGAACATATTTATATCGAACGTATATATACCTTTCCCGAACGTAGGCAATTGGTGTCAAAGAAAGTGTAGAAATGGCTTGACGATATACTAAGATGACTGGTTCCTCGGTCAAGAATCATTTTGAAAAGTGCTTTAGTTGTAGCAAAGGCAAAGTTGACAGCTACAATGGCAACAACAAAGCTCCATTGTCCACACCACTTCATCTTATTTATGAACCAAAATGGCCTCGAGCTTTGAACCACAGTCCCAGTCCTTTGGGAATATGAATATTATTTCCATCGAATCCAAGCAATCGGGTGGGTGGAAAGTGAATGATATCATTTGGGTCATAGATTTGCACCAATCCATGTGCTTGTTAATTGCATCTCTCGATTTGTCATGGAAGTGGAGGGTGGTCTATTCGAGGAAAGAAAGTGGAGATTGATGGTGGGAGACAAGACTCGAGCATCCATTTTGGCCTCATGTAGGGTTTAAGAAATGGAATAGAGCTGAAATAATATCTCGAGTCATCTAAACGAAGAAAGGCTCGTCGTTCGATCTTAACTATTGGCTTGCACTTGCATACTCAAGGGTTTAACATCGTCTTCTGTCATGATTCATGAAAGTACTATGTATTGTACTTTCTTCGGACCTCCTTCACAAATTATATTTCCATTGTTGGTCTTTTGCGTGTCAAAGCCTCCATAATCTAATATCTTTCGGAAGACTGCAATCTCCTGGTATGATTAATGGATGACCCACATGATCTCCCAAGACTAAATATACTAACGGACATTATATAAGTCAATTCATCATACATAGCTGGAGAAGGGATCTTGAGGTCTTAATCTATCGATTGATAAGACTATTCATCATCTTCTTCATGTCATATGCTCTACATTCCCCTCATAAAACCACCGGTCATTACTCTCTATCCAGTCATTACTTTCCATCCAAACTAGAAAAAGTAAATCGTTTTTCCATCAACACTACAAATATGATAATTTGATTGAATTGAAGGGTTTGAAGAGTTAACAGCACCATCTTACTAGGCCAAGGACACAAGATTCAACTAACATATATAAAGATTAATTTAACCTTCACACCTTCTCATGCAACGAGTAACTTTAGGACACTAAGAGATCTTAGAATGAATTCGTGATTATCTGTCCTAATAATATTATTTTTAATGTTTGAATTTAAAATTCTCTTTTAAAAATATAATATATCTTAGTATTATATTTTATAAAAGTTGTGTTTAGTTAACGAAATAAATCTACCTCTCATTCTGAGCGGCACATTTTATATATGTATAAAAATAAACCTAGACCTATACATGAGTGCATGAACCAAATCCCATCTAGTTAGGATACATTGATTGATGAGTAGTAGTAGGCATTGAATAAGTAGATGTTGAAAATGAGATTCTCAAGTTGGTGGGTTGTACCATTATTATATGAGTGGGAATGGATTTGAGATTTCATATCATGTGTTAGGACTCTCTTGGTGCGCTACCATCTAGACGTGGGTGTCATTGAATTATTATTTTTAGTATATTAATTCGAATCGAAAACTGCACAGGCAAAAACGATTATCTCAATCCAATTTGATCCATTTATAAATGTCGAATCCCTTGATCTTGTTTGAGAGATCTAATGTATCATCTCACTAAATCAACTGATTGTCAGTGATGTCATTGCATTATTGACAATAATTTGAGGTGCTTGTTGGTAATCGCCTCATTCTTTTATTCTTTCTTTCTAGAGAATATAAAGTTCCTAAGATGGGTAATATTAGTATGATTGTTGTTCTAATATTCCAAAGGATGTGAGTTTGAATGGTTTTAAATATGTATTATTTTTTTATTTAAGGGTTTGAGTTTATATAATTAAAGAAACTAAATTATTAAATGACATAATGCTAATACCTCTAACCTTTATTAAAATGGTCATTTTTTTAATTTTTGAAGTATTTTGACTCACAACGTTTCACTTTAGAGCAAAAAGACTCTAATTTTTTTACTGAATAGTCACTTTTATCCTTATTCTTCTTTTTTAGAGCATTTTGACCCTACCGTTTCATTTTAGAGTAAAAAGACTCTAATTACTTTTCCCTCAACCATTATCTTCGTGAAGTGTAGACTTCTTTTTTTTTTGAATTAACCACTAGTATTTGATCTATTGGTTGATTTATCCAGATTGAGTTGTGTAGAAGTCCATTATGGTTGAAAATATTTTAGGGGATCACAACGTTTATTAAAATGGTCATTTTGACTCATATTTTTTTGAAGTATTTTGGCTCACAACGTTTCATTTTAGGGCAAAAGACTAATTTTTGACGGAATAATTACTTTTACTCTTATTCTTCTTTTATAGAGCATTTTGAC